AGACATCTCACTACCTGGACAGTCACCCAAAGTTCCTCTGTAACATTGGGGCATCCATCTTCAGCCTATAGGCTGATAGTATCCAGCAGACTTTTCCATGAAGCAGGAAATTCCAAAGACAGTTCCACCTATATTAGCAGTTTGTCAGTCACTTTCCTCTGTGTCCTGGCAGAATGTTTGGCAGACACTTTCATGAAGCAGGAACCTACAAGGATTATCTCACCTTTACACAAGTTCAGCAGTCATTTCTCTGTGGGTGCTGCATGTCCAGTTCATACAGCATACCATCAAGCAGTCCAAGCAAGAGCAGTTTCTTGCCCAAATGGCTAACCAACGCTGTAAGAAGCCTCTTTGGTGCCCATCTTCCTCTTGAAGTAGATTGGTGCTGCCAGAAGCAAATGAGTTTCCTTGTCATGAAAAGTCCTAAATTCTTAAAACATTTTAAATGCCATATCCTGAAGGTCTCTGAAAGATTTGAAGAACTATCTAACTGAAATATATCTCTGTATATCTAGAAAACCTAACTAACGTGACTATAAGCTTGACTATCATGGATGACTATTAACCTATATTTCTTAATTATACATTACATTTTTAAATGAGCTGCATAAACACAATACCTTAATCAAGAGCAGAAATATACACATAACAAAACTGACCTAAGTTTGTATCAATAGGCCAAGATCTATACCAATGTAAATTTCATTTTTTAAAATATTTATTTATTTATTATATATACAATATTCTGTCTGTGTGTATGCCTACAGGCCAGAAGAGAGCACTAGACCTCATTACAGATGGTTATAAGCCACCATGTGGTTGCTGGGAATTGAACTCAGGACCTTTGGAAGAACAGGCAATGCTCTTAACCACTGAGCCATCTCTCCAGCCCCCAATGCAAATTTCTATAGCAGGGTGGTACTACCCATAGTATGCTGGGCCCTCTCACATGAATCATTAATCAAGCAAATGTCCTACAGTCTTGCCTGTAGGCCAATATGATGGCATCATTGTTTTCAATTGAGATTCCCTCTTCCCAGATGATACTAGCTTGTATTAAATTGTCAGAATACTAACCAGCATAAATATAGAGTACATTTGAAATTGTATATTAGATTTTAAATGTTTTTACTGCACAATACAGAAATCTCATCATTTCTGTTGTGAACCAGAAGAGCAAGAACAGAAAAGCAGTGATTGTATAGTATAAAGCGAGGCTACAGAAAAGATTCATGTAGTCCTAAGAATGCATGGTCACTGGTTTAATGCAAATTCCACAGATTCTGACGTAATTGTTGGAGTTGGGTGGAGTGACTGAAGCAGCATGGATGAGGCAGGGAGTGGGCTGTGGTTGGTGATACAGAAAAGCTGACTTCGTTTTTGGTAGTGGATGGTAAATGGATGATGCCTAAACTGGAAAAATCAAGATGAAGTAATGAAAATGTTTTATTAGAGAAATAGTGGCAAAAATAAAAGGAGACCATTAAAGGGGCGTGGAAGTGAATGCCTCAGAAGAGGGGACATGAGGGGCGAGGCAAACAGTTTTTCCATGAAAAGTCCCAAAGAACTATATCTCTTTAAACCACACTATACAGCTCTCGAGCAGCTGCTTTTAAACAAGGAAGACATAGTTGTGGTACACTCCTAAATACTTCATGAGTTGAAGAGGAAGGAAATCACCAGGAATTTCCAAATTATTTACAACTGAATGTTGGTAAATGTTACAGTATATTTAAAAACTGCAGGATACAGTTGAAGTGGTCCAAAGGGGCGCGCACAGCTCTGAAGTGCATGTACTGCATTTAGATGTCTAAGATTGGACAGCAGTGAGTTAAAGGAAACAGAAGAGTTTTCAGAGTAAATGCAGTAAAGTGGAAAGGGAGAACAATAAAGATCAAATGGAAGATTCTTTTTTCCAGGACTATTTCTGTAATTCATTATGTGATTTCTGTGAAGATCACCATGTATTTCATTTATGCATAAATGTATAAAATCCAGAACACCATTTAAAGTTTAATAGTATAGATAGAACCCCAAATTTGTTTTTTGAGACAAGGTCTCATGTAGCCCAGGTTGGCCTTGAACTCTGTTTCCAAGACACCACCAGTGTATGTGGAGATAGGAATTGAACCCAGGGCTTTGTGTATAATTGTGTATGAGCACTCTATCAACTGATCCCCATCCACGCACACTAAACATTTTGAAGCAGACTAGCCTCACTTTACATGAGAAGGAGCTATGTATGACAAGCTCACTTTATTGACTGAACTTGATCGGCTACTTGTAAGTTTCTTGGAAGAAAATGGGGAAAGAGATAGGAGGCTCAGAGATCCAAGGCCACACAATCTAAAGGCAGAACTGCTTTCAAATTTCGCCAGCCAGCTGTTGTAGTTTCAAGTGATACTGATGGAGAAAGTCGCGGACAAACATGCATAGCTGTCTAAAACAGTGTGGGAAAGCAGTCGCCAATTCCAATCACCCAGGCTTTCTACTCTTGGGCTTAGCAGTCTATATAATCAGTTTTCCTTGTCAAATTGATTGATTGCTAGGAATGTATTCTTCAGTCTTCTACTTTCCATACCCAAGTGCTATTGTCAGTGGTTCTCAACCTGTGGATCGATCACCTAAGACCACTGGAAAACACAGATGTTTACATAATGATATATAACAGTAGCAAAATTATAGTTATGAAGTAGCAACAAAATAATGTTATGGGTGGGGTCCCCACAGCGTGAGGAACTGTACTAAAGGGCCACAGCATGAGGAAGGTTGAGAAGCACTGCACTAGGTGGAATGAGGTAGGCAGGCTTGTGCCATACATGTTCCCACCCAAGCCTGAGGAGGTGATGAGTGTGTTCAACAAAAGGCAGGTGCTTGCAGAGGCTGGTGGCAACTTGCTTTTGCAAGCTCAATTGCTCTTCCTCCTCTCCAGTTTCTTATGACCTCATTCTAGACATTTGTGAAGAGTTAATATGCATCTTGAGTAAGATAAAAGCAACGTGTCTGTTCATGTCATAGAATCCTGAAATTGATGCTTCGTTTGAATACTGGTATTTATCCGCAAGGTTTCCTACTTACCTTCATTTCTGCCTGTACTGCATTGACATTCATTTGCTGCTTACAGAGAGTAACCTTTAAGTAGTAAACAAAACTGCTGGAGGAAAAGTCACCAAGATATCTCCATTAAAACAAAAACACACTGACTACAGTGTAATTCAGACACTTGGAAAGTGGAGGCAGGAGGTTCACAATTTTGAGGCCATATAATGAACTACATAATAAGTTTGATGCCAGTTTGAGCTACTGCTTATTAAAAAAAATACTACTCTTTGTGTGTTTGAGTGTATTGTCTGCATGTATGTCTGTGCATCGTGTGCATGCCTGGTGCCTGTGGAGGCTGAAGGGGAGCATTAGCCCATTAGCCACTGTGTGGGTCCTGGGAATCAAACCTGAGTCCTCTGGAAGAGCCAGTGCTTTCTTTTTAACCTCTTGTTATTTTAATACTGTAATATCAGGAGTAAAATAATTTTTAAAAGAAAAATAGTTTTTATTTTGGGTTTTCAAGACAGGGTTTCTCTGTAGCTTTGGATCCTGTCCTAGTTCTTGTAGACCAGGCTGGCCTCGAACTCACAGAGATCCGCCTGCCTCTGCCTTCCCAGTCCTGGGATTAAAGGCGTGCGCCACCACCGCCCAGCGAGAGAAAGATCTTTGAATGTGTTTTTTAAAAATAGTGTAAAACAAAACAAATGCAGCATAGCATAGATGTCCCCATTTTGGTTGCCCCTAAGGGTAGAGGTGGGTGCTTTGGGGGCACTACTGGTGTTCTGTGTCTTAATCTAGTTGAGTTAGGAGAGTGCACTCATTTTTAAATGTTAATCTCCTTACCCCAGGTTTTACATACTATTTATATATAGTATATAAATATATATAGTATATATATAAAACATATATATGTATGTTGCACTTTAATATGTACTTAGAGAAATGTCACAGCAATTAAGAACACTGGCTGCTTTTGCAAAGGACCTGGGTTCAATTCCCAGCACCCACATGGCAGCCAGCTCACAATCATCTGTAAGTCCAGATTCAGTGGTCTCTTTTGGCCTCCTCCAATGTCAGGCACACAAATAGTACACAGACATACACACAGGCAAAATACTCATACACATTCAATAATAAAATAAAATAAAAAATTAAATTCAAGTTAAAAAGCAGCTCTTAGGGCCAGCAAGAAGGTTCAGTGAACAAAGGCACTTTGCCTTGTAAGCCTGGCAACCTTAATTCAATCCTTAGAACCTATGTAAAAGCAGATAGAACTGACTCCACAAAATTCTCTGGGATCTACATATATGTCATGGCATGTGTACACATGTAAGCACACACACAAGTAATAATTTGTAAAGTCTTTTTATAGGACTGGAGAGGTGGCTTAATAGATAAAGGTGAAAGAGAAAGATAGATCATAAAGTTGGGTGGGTAGCAAGGTGGATACGATCTGGGGAGGGTTTAAAAAGTATGATCAAAACATATTATGTGAAAAAAAATCACAAAAAAATTGTGGTGATCCAGTGGAGCCATGAAGAAGAATGAAAAATCATGTATGTCAGTTGCAGGGAAAAATGAGTAGAACAGGAAGTGATTACATTAAACAAAATGAGCCAGACTCCAAAAGTGAAATATTATGTTTTCTCTCATGTAGCAAGCAGAATTCAAAAAGAAAAGAGAACCAAAATCTAGTAGAATGACTAGGGAAGACTCTGGGGAAGAAGGAGAGGGGAGAGTGAACAGTGGTAGAATGGTAGAAGATGGTCTTATGTTCAAAGCATATATGGAAGCATGGCCATCATGGTGAAACCATTAATACACAGTTAATATGCACCAGTAGTAATAGAAAATGCTTGTTGCCCTGGAACTGCTCCAGGGGCCCCTTGCTTATACTATCCTGATGATCTTTCTACTTTGTTTCAGAAAATAATTGCAGTTGTCCTCTTGCATTTCAGGCAGTTCCTTTCAGTCTTGACAGTGTTGCGAATTCCATTCACTCCTTATTTTCTGAAGAAACTCCTGTAGTTTTGCAGTTGGCGCCCAGTGAGGAAGTAAGTAACAAAGTTTTTATTTAAGATCCTTATAAATGTTATTTAATGATAATTTTAAAGTAACTATATGAAAAAGTCTATACAAAATCTGTATGCTGGAATGAATCCATAGCAGGTGGTTGTTGCAGGGGAAGGAGCTGCTTGTTCGTAATGGCTGGCCAGCTAGCTTAGCCCCAAAATAACCACACAGAAACTGTATTAACTAAATCACTGCTTAACCTATTAGCTCTAGTTTCTTATTGGCTAATTCTTACATCTTAATTCAAACCATTTCTATTAATCTGTGTATCACCATGTGGCAGTGGCTTACTGGGTAAAATTCCCTGTGTCTGTTGCTGGGGGATCCATGGTGTCTCTCTGACTCTGTTTTCTTCCTCCCAGAATTCAGTTCTGTCTTCTCCACCTACCTAAGTTCTGTCCTATCACCAGGCCCAAAGCAGTTTCTTTATTAACCAATGAAAGCAACACAAAGACAGAAGGACCTCCTACACCAGGTGGTTAACCCAGAGTTCTGGATTCTTCTTGTAGAGAGTATATATGGTGGGGAAAGCAAACTCCGTCTTTGAAGATCTTTCAGTCACATTACGGCAACTACGTAATCGTCTGTTTCAAGAAAACTCCGTTCTCAACTCTCTTCCCCTCAATTCTCTGAGTAGGAATAATGAAGTAAGTGGTTCAGTTGTTGAGTGAACAAATGAATGGCATTATTAAATTCCCATTCCATATGCTACTTGAAACTTTAGCAAGATTGAAAGTGGTAGAAAACTGGGCACATTTCCTACTTTCCTTCTTTTGGCTTTTCTGAGTTTCATTTTTTTTTCCTTTCTTTTCTTTTTTTCTTTCTTTTTTTTTTTGATTTTTTTGAGACAGGGTTTCTCTGTGGCTTTGGAGGCTGTCCTGGAACTAGCTCTTGTAGACCAGGCTGGTCTCGAACTCACAGAGACCCACCTACCTCTGCTTCCCGAGTGCTGGGATTAAAGGTGTGCGCCACCAGTGCTGGCCTGAGTTTCACTTTAGTAAATGCTTTTACATTCTTACACCAGTGTTGCCAGTTGATCCAGACAAGCCACAAACCAGTCTTCTTGGTATCTGGTTGAGCTGTGCAGAACTGGTGACCTAATGCCATTATTCATAGCCATTGCTAATATGTAATCACATTTTTCAGGATGTTGCAGTAGAGAGAGATATTCCTATGTTGTTTTTCTGTTCATTTTGTTTTTGTATTTTTTTTCTTTTGAGATATAGTTACTATGTAGGCCTGGCTGGACTGGAACTTACTAATGTAAATGAGGCTCACCTTAAACTCATAAAGATCTGGCTGCCTCTCTTTCGTGGGTCGTGAGGTTTAAAGGGCATGTTCCACCACACCTGACAGCCTTCCCTACTTTTGGCTCTTGTCCTTTATAGCTATTGTAGGGAGCTGGGAACCACCCTTCTTAATTCTTTGCTTTGGAACTTGTTCAAGGCAATTAAGTAAGCTTATAGGATTTTTTGTTTTGTTTCGTTTTGTTTGTTTTTCAAGACAGGGTTTCTCTGTAGCTTTGGTGCCTGTCCCGGAACTAGCTCTTGTAGACCAGGCTGGCCTCGAACTCCCAGAGATCCGCCTGCCTCTGCCCCCTGAGTGCTGGGATTAAAGGCATGCGCCACCACCGCCCAGCTAGTTTATAGGATCTTAAGGTAGTATAGGATCCCGCGTCCCCTGAGGGCAAACCACAGTAGTGTGGATGCTCGGATGTGGTTCTATCAGAAGTAAAACTTACATCTGGTTAGTGGTGGTCACTGTACTAGGGGTTGGCCATCACCTGTTTGTTAGGAAATGTTTATATGCATTTTTTCCTGGTGCTGGGCAATTCTCTACCATTAAGCTGCCTCAAGTTTCAGTTACGGTAAATCTACCAAGGGGAGGAAAATATAAATATAGTAAATATAAGTTTACTTGATGAGTATTCCTAGTATGTTGTAACTGTACTTGCTAAATGGCAGTATAGCTCTCTAATGTGCATTTCAAGTAACGCCCACTTTTTGGTCTCTGAAGGCTGACCTGCTCTTCCTTTCTGAACTGCAAGTGCTACATGATATTTCGAGCTTGGTAAGTAGGCTGCTCGAGCTTTCAAGTTCTGTCTGTTTTGGTTCCTAGAAAATTCTGAGATAAAAATGAGGCCAGTTGAAAACTTTAAGCATGCCCCAGGTTTATGATTCCATGAAAACTGAGAAAATGGTGGCGGTGGGAATGCTGAATGCCGTCTCATGTTAGTGGCTATTTCTGTTCCATGTCTGCCTTCTGGAGAGGCCATAACTCCTCAAAGAACATAGTCCTGGGGATAGAACTATCCCACTGTTGTTGCAGCTTGGCCATCTATTTCTTGTCAGACACTGAGACTTAATTCCTGTATCTATAGTTGTGGATCAAAAATAAGAACAACAGTTTGGATAATTAATAGCGTTAACTGAGTCAAAAGGAAAACAATTGATCTGCAAGTTATCTTTTGGTGAATGATTTTTAAAATCATCTTCAAGACTGAAATAGATCTTCTTAGCTATCTGCTAGCTTCTGAAGTTGTTTCCCAAACCTTTTTTTATCAGGGCTTGGTTCAAGAAGTTTGAAAGCTTAGTGCTGGAGACGGGTGAGATCTGGGAGAATATGCAGGAGGAAGACTTGCTTCATGAATTCCTAGCATTATATCAGCCCAAGCAGTTATTGTTTCATCCCTTGTCTGATATCCAAGCTTCGTTTGTTTATTTGTTTGGTTTTGGTTTTTGGTTTTTCTGTCCTGGAACTCACTCTGTAGACCAGGGTGGCCTTAACTCAGAGATCTTCCTGCCTCTACCTCCCGAGCGCTGGGATCATATCTAAGCTTTAAAAATTAAGCAATGAGATTTGTATCGGATTTATCAGAAACCCATTTAAGGAAGTTCCCTTTGCTGCCATTTTAAACTGTTTTTGTGCTGCAGTGCACTGGTGTGGTTCTAGGGCGATCACATTTAATTCTCATGCAAAACTTCATTTGCTTTATTTCGCATCTGACTTGTGTTATCTGCTCTAAGTTGTCTCGTCATAAGCATCTAGCCAAGGACCATTCCCCCGACTTGTATTCATTGGAGCTGGCAGGATTGGATGAACTTGGGAAGCGCTATGGGGAAGACTCTGATCAATTCAGGGATGCTTCTAGAATTCTTGTGGATGCTCTCCAAAAGGTAAATACCAATGCTGGTAAGATTATTAATGTTAAGAAGCCATCAGAAGCTAATGCAAGAGAATAATGTGCTTCTCTCAGCCCATAGACTGGTTTTCTACAGAAAAACAATAGAAGAGAGGTTAGACTCTTTATGGAAGAATCTTCTGTGGAATGCTGTGGATTGAAGTCTTGTCTTTTTCCTCCGTGCAGGGGTGGAGCTCTGGGTCTCACACATGCTAATCAAGCAAGCGGTCTAGCACTGAGCCACACCCCCAGTCCAGTTGAAGTTTTTCTTGGCTTGCTTTAGAGGTTCTCTATTATGTCTAAAATAGTGTAGGAGTAGGATTGGGAACATAGGTCAGGGTTAGAGTTCAATTCCCAACCACCTTCCTAACAAAAGAAGAGTGTAGGTCAGAGGTGTATATCGGGAGAAGATGGTACATGGCCAAAATCCCAGCACTTGGAGGTGAAGGCAGGGGAATCACAAGTTGGAACCCTCCCTGGGCTACATGTTTAAGGCCCTGTCTCAAAAGATCAAAATCAAACCATCTTCAGTAAAAACAAAACAAAATAAAAAACAAAAGCATGTGTCTTTCCTATGGGAATCTCTTCCCAATGCTAGCAATGGCAGCATTGTGAGTTTGTGGATCCTGACAATATCTATAATTAAGGCATACCATTTTAAGCACTCTTAACTCTTCCTCAGTGGTGCTGTGCATATCCATCCCCATTGTCCATCTCTGGAACGGTTTCATCACCACCCACACAAAATCCTCACTCAGCACTGTGAGCTAATGAAGTTGCATACTAGCACAATCGCCTTCACACCGTTCATCTGTAATAAATGGGAGTTTATTTATAAATGGAAATTATATCTCTTTATTGAGGCCTCATCCATAAATTTCTGTAAGGTCCATGATTAACAAAAGACCACTTGGACAGATTTCTTGACTTTCCCTTTCTGATTTCATTCCCAAATTTATATGCCATCAAGTTCAATCTCCAATTTTATTTATTTATTTATTGGTTTTTTTGAGACAAGGTTTCTCATGTAGCTTTAGAGCCTGCCCTGGAACTCACTGCGTAGACCAGGCTGGCCTCGAACTCACAGAGATCCACCTGCCTCTGCCTCCCAAGTGCTGGGAGTAAAGGCGTGCGCCACCACTGCCCGGCTATTTGAATGAATCTTAAGGCTTAACTCTTTACTGAATATTTTAACATAAGCAAACCAGTAAGGGTTTACTATTTTAGATACTGTGCATTAAAACTTATACATATTTGTATTGATATGTATTAATGTATATATGCTATATAATTACTTATAAAGATACAAATAATTTTAACAAATACATATTTGACCAGCCACAAAAATGATCAGTATGTGAGGTACTCTAAATGTTACCTAACTAGTCTATCCATTCCACAGTGTCTATATATTTTGAGATTTATATCCATAACTCTTGTCATCAGTCCCTAATCAATATAGTATAACAACTATGCACGTAGCATTTCGATAATGTTAAGTGGTATATGTCTTCTAGAGATGATTTAGGGTATACAGGATGCTGCACAGAGGTTCTATGCAACTACTATGCACTTTCATATAAGAGTATACAGTTTATAATCTGTAGAAGTTCTAGAACCTGTGGATACCAAGGAACAGTTTTATGAAATTTTTCTTAACCAAAAATACAAATGTAAACAAAATATGTATTTTGCCATTGATCATAATGTTAATCACTGACTTTCAGTTTGCAGATGACATGTACAGTCTCTATGGTGGGAACGCAGTGGTAGAGTTAGTGACTGTCAAATCTTTTGACACTTCCCTTGTGAGGAAGTCAAGGACCATCCTTGAGGCAAAACAAGAGGTAAGTATCCTGGAACTGACTATTATAGACCAGGCTGGCCTTGAACTCATAGAGATCCTCCTGCTTCTATCTCCTAAGTACTGGGATTGGAGTCACAGTCTCCCATGCCCAGCCTATTTAGTCTTAAATAGGCTTCAGTATTGTACACAGGTTTGAATTTGTACAAGTGGAACCATACTGCGTGCATGTTTTGATGTTCTTTGCTCAGTGTCATTTTAAGGGATCACTGGAGCTGAGTCATTTTCCTGCTCTGTGCCCTACTGTCTAAACATGCCACAGTTGTCTGTTCTGCTGAGGATATTCTTGTACACGTCTCTTGGTACAAACAGAGACGTTTTTGTCAGGGGCTAGGCTTCCTGGATCACAGGATCTGCATACCTTCAGTTGCCTTGGCTACCGCTGAATCTTCTCCTGAGGTTGGACTTTCCTTCTTTTAGCAGCAGCACCAGTGTCTTCTAGGAAGCGACCCATTCCTGCCTCCTCCAAGGGTAGATAGGTAGCTTTTACTCCACTTAGGAATCCCTAAGTGGAGTAAATCGTAGACATTAAATCAGAGTAATTTTTATAATCCTAAAGTTCTTTCTTCTTTATTTTTTCCTTTCTTCATTTTAGACCGCCCCAACTCCCTATAACCTTGCATATAAGTATAATTTGGAGTATTCAGTGGTTTTCAACTTGGTACTGTGGATTATGATCGGCTTGGCCTTGGCTGTGATCATCACCTCTTACAACATTTGGAATATGGATCCTGGATATGATAGCATCATTTACAGGATGACAAACCAGAAGATTCGGATGGATTGAGTTTTCCTTATGCTACACTTAGACAACAGGTTTTGGGAATTGGCTGTTCTGTTAAAGGATATCTTTTAGTATGGTTTAAAGTAGATGGTATACCTTAAATTTATTTTAAAGAAAACATAGATTTTGTTCTCTATTTTGTGTGTGCCTGTTGTTTCCTTAGAAAGGTTTATAGTGTTAACACAAATGAATTGTGATGTAGATTCCATAGATGTTCAAATATTGTTGATATAGCCATATAATAATGTAATTTCATTCCATTTAATACATTTGGAAATGTGCACTGAAGGAAATGTAAACCACTTAGAGTAGTTGTGTTATTCATGTTGGAGAATGCACTGGGTTTCTTAGAAGCTTTCAAATGCTTGAGTTCCTTGCACAGGACAGATAAATCCTAGTTCAGCTGTTATTCACTATGAACTATTTGTAAATGTCTTAATCTGATGTAAATATCTCCGAGACAGGAGGGAAGGTTTTAACTAAGAGTAGCCCAAAAATACTGGATATGCTTATACAATCGCTTAGTTTTGGAAGTGTGTGTGTGATTGGCAGGCTAGCTGTTTTTAATCTCTTCTGCAAGTTTGGTGATCTGTGTGGTTTAATAGAGATATTAAAAATATTAAAAATAGCCGGGCAGTGGTGGCACACGCCTTTAATCCCAGCACTCGGGAGGCAGAGGCAGGCGGATCTCTGTGAGTTCGAGACCAGCCTGGTCTACAGAGCTAGTTCCAGGACAGGCTCCAAAGCCACAGAAAAACCCTGTCTCGAAAAACCAAAAAATAAAAAAATAAAAAAAATATTAAAAATACTGTGTTGATTGATTTCAGAAGAGAATGGCTTTATGGAGTGTAGATGCTTGTAATTAGATAGACAAAACATCTGTGGGGGATATCTTGAAGCATGAATATAAAATACTTTTATTTCCGTAACTTTTCCCCCTGTGAAGTTCCTCTGATTTGTGTGTGGTGCAGCTTTGTTGTGTAGAATATTAGGTGAAGTGGATGGTTGCTACTGTTCATGTGGAAATGGACCAATATCTATATAGAGTGACAAATAAACTTAATGATTCAAAATCTGTGTATTCGCAAGTCTAAATTTATATTGTAAAAACCTAACTAAACAGGCTATTATTTCACCAGAACTGGCTGTTTATTATACGAAGGGTTCATATATATAAGGAAGGTATTTTAATTCCATTCTTATTATTGAATTTGTGTAGCATACATGATAAATTCATACTTGACTATGTTGGAAAGGATTAAATTTTCCTGTAGCATTTTAAAAGATGAACAAGCAATTGATTAGAAAAGAAAGTGCTTTCTAAGGTGAGGAATTATGGTTACAATTTTGTTTCCTAAAACACATGTATTTGAACATTTAATTTCATGTTTGTATTGTGTAACACCCCCTCCCAGAAGCCGATTCTGAAGCTCATTTCCAGACAACACTGAGCATGGCAGCTCTGAAAAGGGACAGGATTTACAGTTTTCTATCACTTACTGCCGGGTGCTTTTGACAGTTATATGTTAAACTTCCATTCAGTGGAGTTTCTTTTTGCCTTTCATTGAAGTTAAGTGAGAGTGAAGTTGATAGCTTCATGGAGAAAAAGTCAACACTGTTCTAAAAGTGCACATGTGTCTACACACTTACCCCTCGCCAGGTCTGTGGAAGCACACACGTGTTCTGCACGCTTACCCCTCGCCAGGTCTGTGGAAGTGCACGTGTGTCTACACACTTACCCCTCGCCAGGTCTGTGGAAGCGCACATGTGTCTACACACTTACCCCTCGCCAGGTCTGTGGAAGCACACACGTGTTCTGCACGCTTACCCCTCGCCAGGTCTGTGGAAGCACACACGTGTTCTGCATGCTTACCCCTCGCCAGGTCTGTGGAAGCACACACGTGTTCTGCACGCTTACCCCTCGCCAGGTCTGTGGAAGCGCACATGTGTCTACACACTTACCCCTCGCCAGGTCTGTGGGGGTGAGAGTCATTCAGTTCCCATCTGACTCTCAGGTTACCTGACAGGACCTGTGGAGAGAAGCAGGAATCTCTCATACAGCAAGGCTCTCAGGATCCATTTTTCTTTCACAAGTGTCTGTCATAAACTTTGCCACAGAAGTTAGACTGTTATGATTAAATACGAAGTAAACCAATGTCTTTGGAATTTAAAACCGATGAGACTGAGTTCCAGGGGAAGAAAAATGAGCTACATGACAGCACTAATCCTTATAGGGTAAATGGCACCAGTATCCTCCTATCTACATTAAGCAGAAAGCAATTAATTAAAATAAATGTTCTGCCAAGATTATTATACCTGTTGCTGATGATTTGCTCTGAAATTAAGTCTAATTTGTTCGGGAACATAAATCACAGTGGAGACTGAGAGACAGGGCAGGCAGACTCATGGTGGACTACTGGCTCAAGTCTCACTGAGCCCAGCTTTAGAAAATATTTGAGGTTCTACACGTGGTAAATATCATTGACCTAACCCCAAGGAATAACACAGAAGCCGTTTTTATTTTCTGCAGTTCTATCTTTTCCTCTCACACCCAGACCCCGATTCGTTGGGAGCCAGAAACTGTTTTTCTGAGACATGGTCTCATTATGTAATTTATGCTGGATTGTGCAAACCAGGCCACCCTCCTACCTTAGCCTCCTGAATGCTGGGATTACAGGCGAGTGGCACCACCATGACCAGCTCAGGAGCCTTTTTACTTTGAGACAGGGTCTCAAGTAGTTCAGGTTGGCTTCAAACGGGGTGTGTGTGTACACACATATATAGAGGCTGACCTTGACCCTCCTGATCCTCCCGCCCCTCCTGAGTGCTGGGATTTTACGGGTGTGTGTGTACACACATATAGAGGCTGACCTTGACCCTCCTGATCCTCCTGCTCCTCCTGAGTGCTGGGATTTTACGGGAATGCACTCATACCCAGCTGCACAAACTGACTTTTTGCCCAACAATTCTTTGTTCTTTGTTTTCTTGCAGTTCTGGGGGTTGAACCCAGGGCCCCACACATGCTAGGCAAGTACTTTAGCAATTGAGCTTTTATCCACAGTCTATAACTTTCTAACAATTTCATGGGCTACACGTATTGATGGCGGTAGAGGCTTTGTTATCAGAGGCCAGGGCTCTAGTAGGAAACAGTTTATCATGTATTAGCACAGTCTCTGGGTTTTCCACCCTCAAAGACAGAGCCCCGATATAGTAGATTTTTTGTTTTTTTAATTTTGGCTTCTTTGTCTCCCGTGTGTAGGGTAACTTACATTCTGAGTGTACATACTGGGCAGTGAGGCTCAAAGGGGCCGGCATAGTGAGGAAGTGGGAGGAAGGGAGTTCCAGGAGAGATGTGGTAAGGTTGGCGTGGCCTCAAGACACTGAGTAGCCTGTGCAGCTGGTTTCTGGTTTCCCCTCTTGCCCACACCTGTTATCCCAATGCTCAGGAAGCTATGGCAGGAAGATCACCCAAGTTTGAATCCAGCAGGGTTACAAAGCAGGTGTCTGTCAAAAACCGAGACACAAAACAAAACAAAACCCTAGCAATTTCTTTCCACTGTCAAATGGCTATGCCCTGGCAGCAGGCCTTCTAACCTTAGATTTTGGCAAGTTTTTTTGTTCTTTTGTTTTGTTTGGGGTTTAAACCCCCACCCCCCGAGCCTTTCCATGACAGAATGCTTAAACACATGACAGTTTCTTTTGAAAACCATAGTGAACGAAGGCTGTTAGAGCAATACCATGATGAAATGCAGTGCAGTCACCCAGGTAGATGGAATTTGTGGCTTCACTTACTAGCTGGCCAATTTGGGGCAAATCCCTGAGTCTTAGAATCTGTTTTTAATCTATGTAATGCAGGTGGCTAGACCCCAACTTTGTGGGAACTGGCAATAGGTGGGAGGCACATTGTAAGTATATGGGTGCTTCATAAATACAAATCCCAGCAGCGCTGCCTTCCAGGAACTCTGACTTCCCACTGTGCCCATTGATGGTGTCTCACTTGTGAGCAAAGGCACAGACTTCCACTTCAGCTTTGTCGGTTGTCCTAAGGTCCTCCTCCTAGGTTGGAGTCCAGTCCAGGAGCACACGTCCTATTCAGTTGTCATGTCTACTTGGTCATCTTTAATCTGGGACACAGTTATTCCATAGAATGCCTTCCAATTTGGGTTTGATGTTTGCTCGTGATTAAATTGAAGCTACGGGGCGAGAGAAATGGTAAAGGCATTGCTGCCAAGCCTGACCACCTGAGTGCATGCCACTGTGTGAACTACACTAGATGGACCCTATTCCTGGTACTTGAGGTTTCACTTGGCAAAAGGTGTCTAGTTGGGGCATTGTTTCCCCTGTGTGGTAGTTTGAATGGAATTGGCCCCCATAATCCCATATTCTCCTAGGGAGTGGCACTGTTAGGAGGTGTGGCTTTGTTGGAGTGAGGATGGCCTTGTTGGAGGAAGTGTGTCACTGTAGGGGTGGGCTTTGACATTTCATATACTCAGGATACCACCCAGTGAACCTGTCGACTTCCTGTTGCCTGCAAGATGTAGGACACTCTGCTGTTTCTCCAGCACCATGCCTGCCTGCATGCTGCCATGCTCCCTGCCATGAGGGATGGAACCTCTGAACTGTAAGTGAGCCACCACAGTTAAATGTTTTCTTTATAAGAGTTGCTGTGCGCATGGCGTGTTTTCACAGCAATAGAAACCCTAGCTAAGACGCCCTTTTATTTGGTGACTCCAATATATTTTAGAAAGCTTCTATAAGCCAGGTGGTGGTGGTGCACACCTTTAATCCCAGCACTCAGGAGGCAGAGGCAAGCGGATCTCTGTGAGTTCGAGGCCAGCCTGGTCTGGTCTACAAGAGCTAGTTCCAGGACAGGATCCAAAACTACAGTGAAACCCTGTCTTGAAAAACAAACAAACAAAAAAAAAACAAAAAACAAAAGAAAGAAAGAAAGAAAGAAAGAAAGAAAGAAAGCTTTCTCCAGTAAAATAGACACCTCAAATGGCACTTAATGTTAGTTGTTCTTCCTCGTTATTCCCTCTCTTACCCCTCTCTTCTAGCCTCCTCCCCATTTAATCCTCCCACTTTTGTCTCCCCACATTGCTCTATAGCTATGTATTCTATTTCCCATTCCTTGGGATATCCTGCCTACCCCCAGTCCCTTACTCTATGCCTAACCTCTGTGGTTATAAGGATTATAGCATGCCTTTTGAAGGCATAAAAGCTAATATCCACATATAAAATGAAAACATACAGTATTTGTCTTTTTGGAGTCCGAGTTACCTTACTCAGGATGGGTTTTTCTAGTTCTATTCATTTACCTGCAAATTTTATAAATTTTTAACAGCTGAGTAGTATTCCATTATGTAAATGTACCACAGTTTCATGATTCATCTTTTGATGGACATCTAGGCTATTATGAATAGAGCAGCAATGAACATGGATGAACAAGTATCTGTGTAGCAGGATATAAACTCTTGGCATATGCTGGAGAGTGGTATAGCTGGATCTTGAGGGACACTGATTCACAGCTTCTAGAGGAACCACCTTGATTTCCATAGTGGAATAGTTTGCACTGCCCCCACCAGCAGTGGAGGAGTGTTCCCCTTGCTCCACATTCTCACCAGCATGAGCGGTCATTTGTTTTAATTGATCTTAGCATTTTGATAAGTGTAAGATGAAATCTCAAAGTAGTTTTGATTTGCATTTCCCTGATGACTAAGGGTGCTGAATATTTCTTTAAGTGTTTCTCAGACATTTGAATTCCTTTAGAAAACTCTGCTTAAGTCTGTACCCCATTTTTTAATTAGGTTATTCTTTTTTAATGTCAAGGGTTTGTTTTGTTCTTTATATGCTTTAGATACTAACCCTCTATGGAATGTATAATTAGTAAAGATCTTTTCCCATTCTGTAGGCTGCCTGTCACTTTGTTTGAATGATGGTGACCTTTGCCATACAGATGCTTTTCAGTTTCACAACGTCCCATCTATTGATTGTTGGTCTTAGTGCCTGTGTTATTGGTATTCTAGTCAGGAAGTTATCTCTTGTGCCAATGAGTTCAAGGCTATTCCCCATTTTG